AAGACTGATTGGGTCACTTCCTTACTAGTGTAAGATCTGGCATAGAATCAAGTCTTGTGAGTATCCAAGCTATTCTTGGTCAAACTTAAGTCTCCATAACTCTCAGACCAGCTAAGTAAATTCACTAAAAAAAAGAAAAATAGGGACTCACTAGCAAGAGACCTGAGACTCACCCCTACTAAATCACTCACAAGAAAGGGAGTGAGAAGGTGGACCCAAGAATCTATTTGAGCTATCTTAGATTAGGCCACCAGCCAAAAGGACTATTCTCCCCCCTTTTAAACATTTGTGTCTCATTAGCTCATGACAGATTACACAGGTTAGGGGATATAATCTCATGCAGCATGACTCAATGCAATTTCTTGTTTTAAAGAACTTTCCTTGCATATATAGACATTTGCCTTGGATGATTGACTATCCAAGCTACTTGCAAACCAGCAGGCAGCCTGCTGGCCAATTACCTGCGTATTTTTTCAAGTACAGTAGTTTCACACAATTATTCTACCGTGGTGGTTCTGGTGCTTATATAAAGGTCATATAACATGAAAAACAACAAAAACTGACATATTTTTCTCATACTCAAGTGGTATTTTTTCAAGTGGAACAAGGGGTGACTTAGTGAACTAATCATGGCTCTTTGACATATATGGCTGCAGTGAAATCATGTTACAAAAGGCACAGAAGGTTCCTCACAGTGGAACATGATTAGTGCTTTCAGCTTTGGTATTAGATTTACTTAAAAAGAAAGAGAATATGTCAATAAACTTGGAAAATTGAAATTCTGTTTTAGCCCACTAGATGGTGATCCTTAGAAGTCGGGGCTCAAGTAAATAAAAACAGTCAAGGTTAAAGCTCTTAAAAGTAAATAAAATTGTACAATCATGCTCAGAGTAAGTAACCCCAGTTAAATTATTTGTGTCATAAAACAAGCTACAGAATCTCATAGAGAAGTAGTTCTTCCCCTTTTTCATATTGTGACCCTTGGTTACACCATATTAAAAAACCCCCAAAACTTGGGGTTCTCTCCCATCTTCCCATACAGCTGCAAGGAAAGACAAAATGGTGATCATGCTGCAAACTTCTTTGCAACATCCAGACTAAGAAATCATGTTGTGGGGCATTCAGAAAATATATGGCGCACACAATATTGCAACACACTCAGATTATTTTGACACTGCCTTTTGCCCAATGGCGTTTAAACATATCTGTATTTCCCACATGTACACATTTTCAAAATTTTAAATATGAACAAAGAGGAGCAAGCTCATACAACATAATAATAAAATGTTTTATTAATCAAATATATTTACATTTCTTTGTCTTTTTTTTCTTTAAATGTGTGCCTGTTTTCTCATTTAAACACAACGGTATCTTTACATTTTATATCACAAGAGTACAGCTACATGCATGACATAATTCGTCCTTGACAGTAAAAAAAGATGCAATTTTATGAAGTTTAAAAAATGCAAGCAAGCTGTTTACCATTCTAATTACAGTGTCATTATTAGTCTTATTACAACAAAGGACCCTTCCAGAATATTCTACATCTACTGCATGGGGATTTGCCCTTTTTCAGTTTGGCTTAATCATGTCTAAACTTTCAAAAATTGAGTGTGGATAAAAGACTGCACGCTGTTCAACATATTTTAATTTATGGGAACTCATACACAGCAAGGATTTGGATGCAACAAAAAAGTGCACTAATGATAAATTGGAAATAAGTCATAGCAATATATAACTTTCAGAAACAGATGACTTGCTACGTTTATGATTTTCAAATATTTATCATTTAGAAACCATGTTTGGCACTTATAAGACAGCACCACATACTCTAACAGCACCATACAAATGATAAATAGCTATTAAAAAGAGATAAGGATACCAAAAAATGTGGCCAACCCACACATCAGAGCCATTAAGGATTTTACTGTAATCGTTACGTTATTCAAAATTCTGTTCTTCAAAGAAAGACAGTCATTTTTGTATCCAAAAGTGTCATGTTATTTGGGATTGTGCTTGCGTTTTCACAGAGGACCTGAAGCTTTTCTGAGAAGGGCATCCATAGGCGTATATGATATTTCATTCTGTGTGCTGCACAAAATTAGAAACATACACATTTACTTGTTGAGGAAAAGGCTTTAGATGCCTCAAGGTTGGAAAGTGTGACTTTTGCACATATTTACCAAACTTCAAAGCCAATCATAAGAGCTTCAGAAAAAGTAGGCACATAATGACTACATTTTGAGGTAATCATACTTCACTTACTGCTTTCACTCACTCTGTTCAAGCACATAAGATCATGTCCTTAATGGATCCAAATGCCTAATTATTCCATCCATACCTGAAAAAAGCTTGCTCATCATTCAGCAAGAGCAGAAAGCAACTAGATGTTGTTTAATCCAATTCAGGATGTGTTTCAGCTTGTTGATTTTTAGTAGGATATACAGTATTGCATCGTGTTGCTGAAGAGTGACACCAGCTATAAAATCATGAGTGGGAATGTTTCCCACTGAATTGTATTTATGCACCACCACCTATTTTATAAAAAGTGTCTTAGAGAAAGCAGTACAGTAATTAAAACTGTATTGCTTGTCTGGCACAACATAGTGATTTAAGATGAACAAATATAATAAAATGTTATCTGGAAGAACAAGATGATTTCTGCAGAAATTACACTTTGGTGTGCTTAAAATGATGCAGGCCCCTATTAGGAAATCATTTTAGCACATAATTATAAGGTCAGGAATAAGCCATCCAAGTTCAGCACTAGCCTTATGCTCATCTGTAATTTTATGCATATGTTTCAGTGTTAGCTGGATCAGGGCCTTAAAAAAGAATTACAAAATATAGGTCTTACCTGCTGAGATGCTGATGGCTCTAAACTACCACTGATTTCACCTCACAGAAATAGGAGAGAATGGTTCAATAATACAGCAATAGAGATTGCTAACATAACTTGCTTGCCAGACTTTAACATATCTCATTTCCCACCTAAGTTTGATGCAAAATCTGCTCATCTCTGTAGTTTTCTCTGAAATGACTGCATGTTTTACAGAAATCATGTAAATCTTGCTCTGTTCAAGTGCTAAATATGAGTGCTTCATTCTAGTGAGATTATTTTATACTGTGCTATTAAAATAACATGCAAGCATCATATTACCACTAGAGATGTACTGAAAGGTTTAGAAATGGTTTCTGTAAAGTAGCTATGGCTGCTCAAGTCAATCTGTGCTCTGAACACAATGAGGCCTGAGTGCTGATCTTTAAATTACAATGTTGATACCCAACTTCTTTGATCTCCTCCTACAGAAATACCAGTTTGTAGCAGATTAGAACCTCCGGTAGTTCAAATAATAAATTCAGATAAGCATCCATAAATGTGGACATTTACCCAACATTCAAATAGTGGAAACTCAAAAGAGATGTGCATTTTTTCTAGATAAGCTATTTGCTAATTTTGTAGAAGTTGGAACATTAACAGAAGCAACTTCTCTCAAAGTAGTTTGCGTCTTTGATGCCCACACAGCAAAACACGGTAGTCGCACTAAAAGTTACTTTTTGGCAAAATTGTAAACTGTAACGCAGAATATAAAAATGTAACGAAAGGGACACAGTTAAGATAGCAATGCCCAAGATTTCTACTGGGTTTTTTTTAATTTATATTTTACCATGTTATTTTTTCCCTTTTCTTTCTTTGCAAAATTCATGCAGGGACTATGTAAATTAATTGAGAGTTAATGCTGCTCAGCCTTTTATAGGACTGGGTATTTAATTTCTTATATTTGTTGAAAAACAAAACCCTCCCCATAAATTCCTTTAAAATAATCAAATAATCAATTGAGCATTTATAAAAACAACCCTACAATTAGAACTAGGTAAAAATAATGGAGCTATTTTTCTTCACAGCAGTTCACAAAATAAAATTACAATTTTGCAGTATGACATATCAAGATTTAAAACCTGGCTTTTTTACATTTTTATAAAATTGCATTTTTAGCTCTGAAACACCCAAAGCTTAAATATGCTGGGTGTTTAAAGCAAAAGTGATCTTTGGTTAAATGAAGTTATAAAGTCTAAAATATACCAAGGTTTTTTAATACTGAAAGAGAACCATTTTGACTGAAAACGAGTGAAGAAAATTTAGCAGTTTTTTGGTGAAACAAAACAATTTAATGAAAAGTTGAGCTTAATGCTGTGAACATTTCCAACAGACCTCTCTGTAAGATCATACCAGTATGGGTACAACAGGGAAAAACAATGTAGAAGTTGACAAATAAGTACCTTGCTTTCATACAGTTAGTGTTCAGCAATGCTAGAGATAAGATACAAAGGACATATGGCTCCAAATGACCAGCAATCTCTTGTAATACCATGATAAACTGGGAGACTTAACAAACCCAAGATGTTGTCACCAAAAAAATAGGTTAGCCCTGGGAATGGGTTATATATCATACTCTCATTGACCTTCATTTGCCAATGCCAGCTCCCACTTTTCCAAATATCCCTTTCTTCATCACTGAATTTCCTTATTCCAGTGAGTTCAGCCTTGGAGGTAGGCAGCACAGTCATTTTCCAAATGGCATCCTATCGTGCACATAGCTACTGAAAATGTTTGTTTACTATATATGTTGTGTGAATTCCTAGTTTAATTGAAGCTAATAGGATTATTGCCATTGTCTTAACTGGTGCCAGGATCTGTGTCCTGGATTGCCTTGCACTCACATTTTGTTTTACCATTTTAGAATAACACGAAGTATCATCAACTGATAGGTATGAAAAAAGACTAGTAGTGATGTTTGATGGTATTGATTAAGAAAGGCACTGCTTTTAGCTATATTGTACAACCAGTTTTGAACAGAAGTCCTCACTGAAATCAGTGAGGGAGTACGGTCAAATATGTGATGAGATGATACAACAGCAGTGTCTATAATCCATAAGGACTAGGCACTTTTATAAGATTGTGTAAAACGTGACAAATACTCCACCCTCCACAAAAGACTTTACTCGCATGCAAACATTTATTATTTTTTTCTTTTATTAAATATGAATTTGTTTCAAAGGGGCATCTTTTTAACCTCTAGCACCATACAAATTAAGAGTAAAATCATGGTCCTTTTGAAATAAATGGCAAAACTCCCAGAGACTTTAATGTGGCAGAATTTCATCCAAAGTGTGCAATTCCCAATAAAAATGTATCATGTTAGCTGCACCTTGTTCATAAAGAACACTACTTCAGTGTTTAGCCTCTCCCGTGTGTGCACGTTCAGTACTCTGTTATACTGTGTTAGAATCTTTATGCAGACACTTATTCCCTTGCTAAGTATACGTAACTTCTTTTACATTAATTAGAATTAGACTCATGCCTTGAAAGAAAATTAAATACATCTTCCTGAAGTGACTGCAATGAAGCCTGAAGCCATTCATGAGTCACCTGGATTCAGATTTCCTTTACAATACTGAAGCTCAGCCCAAGTTTGTTGAAACTGATCTGGGACTACTTTCAAGTGAACCTGAGCCAGTATGATAGAAATAGCTGGGCACTGTAAACTGGGTTTTTGATTAATTTTGCTGGAATTGATAAACTATTAAAGCAACCATCCAAATGAAAACTTGAACCTAGCTTTTTTGTCTTGCTGCTTACAACAGGATATTCAGATATACAGGGTTTTTTTTTAACATTAAACTACAATTTTGCTGAAAACACTTTTTATCATTGCATATTTCAAAGTGATGCTATCCTATTTAAAATGTGCCTTTGTTTAAACTGTCTTTCTTTCTGACATCCTTGCACAACTGTGTATTTACAGGTTGCTTATTCGGTTTTCGCAGAGCTTCGGTGCCAATGCATTATCTGATAAAGACATTTACATGAAAAAGTGCACACAATGTGAGGTGTGGAACCATGGAAATGAAATGTCCTTTGGTGTGAGGAGGCCAACTCAGATGTGGTGCTTGATCACTTTCCATCTCACTATTCAGACAACAATTTCTATTATAGCCATGTCAAAACCAACTTAACCCAACCCAACCCAGCCAAAAATAAGGATTACATCTGGGTACTTAGAGTCATGCTACAAAAAAGGTGCAACAATAAACAAGTCCATGTGCATTCTCAGTCATAACTATGGGCAGAAGAACCCTTGAGATTCCTCGCTTTGGTATTAAATAACAATAATAAAGGCTTTTAGAAATAAAGCAATACATGGTGGGACTTGAACTGTTAGCAGTCCCAGGTAACTTGTCCATTGAAATAAGTCTCATCCCTAGTCATAAATAAATAATCTCTTTCCTGGCCTCACTTCCATGCCAGGATCAATATCTCTTAACATCTTACTTATTTTATTACTGCTTTTGGTTTTCTGGGGCTGATTGAAAGTTGCTCAGAGGAAATCTTTGGTTTTGCTTAAGTGTCCGTGACATTTAATCATGACTTTCCTTGCAGTTTAATTCCAACCAGTCAATCAGTTAATCCACTTCAATTGATTCTGTGCTCTCTGTTATTGGCTTGCACTCATTGGGCATCCTCTGGTGTCGACTCAGCTGGGTGGCTTGTGTGAAGCTCCTCTCACACCTCTCGCACCTGGTGAAGGCAAGAGAGAAAATTGAGACTGGGGAGCTGCTTCTGGGGGGTGATGGGCTTTGTCTCATCCTGCCTAATCAGAACAGACACTCAAAAGTGGCTTCAGATTTTACCGGCTCAAGAGGTTTAATTGGTGGCTACTTCCAAGGCCTTGATGCCTATGATGGGACAAGGCCTGTCTGATTCAGAACAGAAGAATCTGTCAATAGACAGGGGGAAGGTGATTTCTCCAGAGAGGCCTGTCCTGCTGTTGCTCTGATCACTGTCAGTTCAAATAGATAAAGAACAAAAAGAGCTTTTTAGGAGTGAGCCATCAAAGAAGCAGCTTGTCTGCAGTTTTCTGCTCTGTAACCCCTAGGAGAAATTGATGACAAATAGAATTTCACCCTCTGCTCATTTAAAATCTGGCATTCACCTATTGGAGAAGAAGCTGTAGGGCAGTAATTGCTATGTATTATAACAAGAGAAAGCTTTTTATTTATCTGATATGACTATGCAGTTTGGTTTATGTTAAATAAGCTTGTAGGATTAGTGATTGCTTAATCAATTGCCTGAAAACATTCACAGCATTTGACATGTGTGTGGGGTGAGAAGGAACTCATAAAGGTCAGCAATGTGTGCTTCATTGTCTTTTAAGTCTTCACACTACTTGCTCTCTTTCTCTCTCCAGTGGACTACAATCTATAACAAATTAATGAATGAATTAATTATGTTGCAGAGTCTCTGAGGGGATAGGACAGGGGTATCCCTAGTTCAGAAGGAATCATCTGCCCTGTTCTAAAAGACAATCTACTATATCAAATCTTAACTTTTTAAAATGTGTTTTTCTTTTTAATTAGTATTGTGAATACTAGATGCAATTCCATGATGGAATACAATGAGGGATACAGTAGACTTTCTTTGAAAGGCCCTCACGCAAACATCCACCTTTGATTTAATGGTGCTGCGTGATGTTTATCTTCAAAGATTTCAATAAAAGTATCACTATGATGAATTAACTCCCCATCTTCAAAGAAGCAGCGAAGAAAACAATGGTTGCCACTGCCTTCTATCCATCTTTATTTCTTCATAGGAAAAGGTGAATCTCCACAGAATTAGCCATTTACAAAAATGATAAAATATGTATATGCATACATAATTGGAATGTGTAGAAAACGTATGGTTTAGGAACTCAGTCCTCAAATATTACACATTCATTCATCTAAACTACTGTACCAGCCTAAAATGTCAACATGCCTAAGTTGTGTTTCTTTGATTGTCTTTCTGGGAATATTTTTGCAGCCTGTTCCAGTGTTAAAAACTGCACTGTGATCTTGACAAATGTAAAATGTCAGCTTTAATGTATCAGACCTATCAGCTCAATGAAAATAACTCAGAAATATTGATCACCTAATGATTTTTGGTGTATTCATTAACGTCTACGTGCAGATCATCCTCTCTCCAGAGCTCCTGAAATGCTGATGACACATTAGTGTATTGCTGATTGTTTATTAGAAAACTGATTAGTTACTGGATTAGTGTGTCAAAATATACTACCTTTCATTGCTTGACAAACTTACAAATTATTATATTCTTTATATATGTATATCTTGAAGGAACTAGAATCAATTTTAGTGCTAGGATTAGCTTGGGTTATGGGAGGCACGACTATCTACTTGATCTTGAAATTTTGTTATTTTATTAATATGTGTATCCTTATAAACAGTGTATATGTACAGTATACTACAAATATACATATGTATAAATACACATAAATGTACATATGAGTTTACCTAGATAATATATATACAATAGATATAAGTTAAGTTTTAGGGGTTTTTTTAAAACACATGTGCCTGCCATTAGAATCCTAAATCCATGTTTGGGCATCTGAGATTTTTCAGACGTGCCAAACAGGTAGAAATCTCACAGATGTCACTGGTAGCTGTGGGTACTTGCCACTTCTGAAAATTATGGCATGTATTTAGGTGCCTAAATGTGCATATAGTAGCTAAATTCAGGGCGCCCACTTTTGAAAATCTCAACTGTAACATAGAATACCAAAATACTTCCTGTCTCGGGTATTATATGACATGTGCACACATACATCCATCAGACAGTGTAGCTCATAAACAGGAGAGCAGTTCATCAAATAAAAAGGAATCTGAAGAATTATATAAAACAGAGGGAAAGGAAATCACTTCAATATCAGATTATTTAGTGAAGCATCTCTTTTTAAAAATGTTAGGCAAAGATTCAATACGGTGCTAGTATTCCATTATAGGATAGGGAGATGTCTACACATCTCCAGAGGTCAATCCTATTCCTATAAGGGGTTAGAGGCAGGGCGCTTACATGTGCACAGCAGATAATGGACTTATTCCTGCACAAAAAGCTGGGTAACTCAGAGTTAGTCTCAAGCTACACTTTGGTTATCCACTAGTTGAAATAGAATTCTTCCTGTAGGTGTCTACAAATTAGTTACTGCAATCCCTGACTTCTAGGTATCTGGCCCCAGAATAATATCCAGAACTCAGAGCTCCCTATGCAGTGCCTGGGAAGCGTTGGTTCAGAACAGTGGTCCAAAACCCCCCACACGCTGTGCCAAGAGTTAATCATTAGGAAAACACTGAGCATGGGATGTGTCTGCCATCTCTAAGATTAGGTCTCTGACTTGGTGTGACAGAAAGATTCTATTTTCCTCCTGGGATACAAATCCCAAAGTCCTCTCATGGTGGTGGGTTCCTACAACTGTTCTGTGGCTTGCTCTGTTCCTTTTGTATTCTGGCATGACCACCTCTTCTAATCTTAAAAGGAAAGCAGCTGCAACTGCCCAAGTCTGTTGGTGAATGTCATGCACATCCAGGCTACTCCTATCAGATCAGACCTTCAGGGGAATTAGGGACCACCTAGTTTCTAGATACCAAAGTGATTTAGGTGGGAGCTAGGTCAAGTCAGGCCAGTTCTGGGCATACAGATCACTGCTACTATTTTGTACTTAAATGGTTTAAGTTCCTCTACGGGCTCTTGTACACGTGATGGTAGGGCCATGTACATGTGACAAAAAGTGATGGGAAATCGTCATTTGTCTATCATAATAGCATTACTGTGTATACCTGCACGGGTTTTTTCACATTTAAATTTTTTGAGCATGGCAACTTAGACCACCTCAGATATATTTTAGTTTGAGCAGAGAAGATAGTGGAGATGGTGCACAGGGTGCTGGAAGCCTGGGTGGGTGCGCAAAAATTTGGCCTTGGTGGGCTTCCAGTGTCCCGTGCACTGTCCCAGCCACCTTCTCTGGCCACCAGCACACCCAACCCCCCTCCTGCTGTCTTCCTGCACTGCCCCAGGGGCAAGCCAGCCCATTTCTGGGTGGTCCCAGGCAGTTGGAAAGTGGTGGGGACAGTGCACAGGGCGCTGAAAACTCACCGAGCCCAAGCTTCCCTGAGCATGCCTAGGCTTCCAGTGCCCCATGCACTGTTGGATCAGACTGGGTGCTGCCTGCAAGCTGAGGCAGCACCTGCCCAGCTACCACCCACCCAGGCAACCCCAGGGGACACCACTGCCATGGAGGAAAGCACCAGGCCCCCCGTACCCCAGGGGCTGACTGATCCAGTGGCAGCTTGCGTGGGCAGGCTCTGCCAGGAAAAAAAAAAGTGGTGAAGCCAATCCTTTGTTTTTTCCCCCCTCGCAGAGCCTGCTCACCTCTCCTGCAGCCAGGGGGGCCCTGGACCTTTCCTCCACGTGGGTGGCTGCACCTGGGCTGGGGCAACCCAGGTGTGCTGCTAGTGGGCAGGTGCAACCCGGGGGGGGTGCTGCCACTGCAGAGGGAAGGACTGGGGTTCCCTGCAATTCAGGGCCCATCAGCAGCATGCCTGCTGGCCACATGAGAGGCAGGCAGGCTCCATAAGGGAAAAAAAAAAGAATCAGGCTCCTTACCACTTTCCGCTCCCCCCTGCCCAACACGGAGCCTGCCCATGGCAGTGGGTGGGTGGAGAATGAGTTGATGGCGGGCTGTTACTATTCTGTCACAGTGATGGTAGCCCCTAAATTGAAATGGTGGGTTTTTATTTTGTAGGTTTTTAATTGTGATGCGCCATTTCAAATTAGGGGAACTAACCCCCCCCTATGTGTACAAGCACCCTATGCACCTTGGGCTAGGGACAGAAGTTATATGTAAACCTGTAAAAGTGATTGGAAACCAATTCAAATTGGTAATAGAACAGAAGTCCAGTGCACATAAACCACTTTCAAAATGGCCCAAACCAATTTAAGATAAACTTAGATGGATGCAGTATCAAATTTAACTGATTTAGGTTAAATCAGTTTATTGAACTGCTGTCCCTGATCCCCTTCATAGTCAAATGAATGCACAGTCTCCCAGCATCTCAGCATGCTTTGCACCTCCCCCACAAACCCTCCTTCACAGGGTGGGTGGGCTGGCCTTTGCCCAAGCTATCTGCTCCAGTTGAATATCTGTTCATTTGCTTATCAATTCAATCTGTGCATTTTAGACTAATCTGTGACGATTTAATCGATTCAGCCTCAGTCTTTCTGACTGTCTGTGTTTAGCCCTAAAGTCTACCTAATATTATTGTAGAATGTGAGAAAATAGTTCAGCTCAGCAGTGAACCCTCTAAGATAGATATCTAGGACAGGGTTTGGCAATCTTTTGCCACTCTGGGTTACAAATCTCCACACACGCCTTTGAACACCCTCCCTAGCCCACAACCCCACTCCATCCCTGAGACCTCAAGCTGCCTGTGCTTAGCCTCATGGCAGATACCAGGCCCCTTTGCAATGTGGGTATGCGCAGGCATGGGAGAGCAGTAGGAAAGGCTGCAAAGGAGGGTGCTGTGGAGAAGGCAGATGGCTTGATGCAGCTCCACACTGCCCAGTCCCCCATGCCACCTTGGGATGGGTTTGACCTTCCCAGATTAGCTCCAACATCTTTGCGGGCCAGATTTGGCCCAGGGGCTATAGACTGCCAATTCCTGATTTAGTATACAACAAAACTTGATTTTTCTATTAGATTTCAGGTCAGATATTCAGATAAGCTTCAACCTAAACTTTATTTTTGAAGGTTTTTTGTGTTATTGCACAGCTGTGGCTATACATAGTAGTAGTTATGCTTCATACTACCTTTCATGAGGATACAATCAAGTACAGTCAGCATTCAAGGTAACCACTAGAATTTACTCAGGTGCAATTCAGGTTTCTTTCATTAATAATAAGGGCTGCATACTGCTAAGGTCTACTCTGAGGGATTTAATTCGTACCTAGGCTCAATGTTTCAGCTCTGCAAAGAATCAGTTTAAGACTGCATAAAACTATGCCCAGAAACTTAAAGACCATCACCAAAAATCAGATCCTTGTTATTTTCATAAACTGAATGCATAGGCACTTTGGTTGAAATTAAAAAGGTATGATCCTATTGTATTCAATGCAGCCCTATGTTAAGGCCCGTAGCAAGTTCTTTTTATATTTCTACAATAAACCTTTCTCTTTTACTACTCTTATTAATAGAGGGGAAAGCATGTTCTTTTGTTTTTCTTGTTTCTCTGACTGGTTGTCTCAGATTCTCAAGTACCATTACAATTTTTTTTTCCAGGAATTATTTTTTTGGCTAAGTGGTACTTAATGTTGGCATTCTGCTAGTTGACTGCTCAGTACTGACATAATGCTGTAAGTATTAGTAGTGCTAATAACTTGGTCTAGACGAATTTTTTACAGTAAATAGTTTGTTTTGTCAAGAAAACAGCTTTGTGTTGACTGAAAGTATTAAGTCATTTCTGTCAAATTCAGGCAATTGTTTTGACCAAAATACTGGGAAAAATATTAAAAAGTCAAAATATTTCATTTTGATATTTTAATGAAACATTTTGAGTTTCCATGATATGTGCCATGTGTAGCTACATTTATTTTTAGAAAGTAAAAAAGCACCCTGAAAACAAACAGAATGTTATGCCTTTCCAAATAAAATATTTTATCCAACATAAATGACTTTTTTGTTTCAGTTTTCCATTTCAGCAAGAAAAACTGAAAATTTTCCTTTTCAAATCAACCCAAGCTGAAAGTATTTATTTCAGATTTTTTGGTTGGCTCGATCACTTGTACTCAATTATTTGTACATCCGTAGGTGTGACAGCAGCAGCATTGTGCTTCTTTGACCCAGCTTTTGTTATCACTGAACTGAAAGAGATGGAGGGGCTGGCTAATAATTTTGATTTGGCCTACTTTTGAGAGCTATCCTTATTTAAGAGCTTTGTTCCAGACTAGGAGCCGTAGTGGAGACTTCAGTGAGATAAGAATGCACAAAACATTGCAATGGTTAGGTTGAAATGATTGCTTGTGATGACATGAAAAGAAATCCCTTCTAACTGGACCTGATGCCCAGATGATGTAGCTAAGGCTTTGACTACAGATAACCTCACTTAGCATTTTTATCTACAGGGAAATGCAAATAGAAAAGTCTGCTACCATAGACAGCAAAGTTAGCTAGACTTTGCAGAAAGAGAGCCTTCTCCCACATAGCACTCCCTGTCCAATCAAAGACCCCTTTTAATAACAATGAATATACCATATTTTAAAATTCCTTCACAATTTTTGTCCCTTTCAAAACTGTCTTTTTCAAAGTGCCTTGTGCACAAATGTCCCTGCCAAAAATTTGGATGATACTATGTGTCTACGAATTCATATGTACAATCATGATTGCATAAATATTAGGTCAGATTTTTGCACAGGTATTAGTTAATAGCATAACTGGCCTTTTGTGTGGGCAATTAACTAGTTTTTATACATAATCTATGATCCATGCACTTCCAGCATATTTTCAGCTCTGAATTTGTACTTTGCATTTGTTGAAACAATGTGGTTAGTTGTTAATTAAAAAAATATTGTAATTCAGTACTAAAAATGAAATACTGAGGTAACTGCAGCTTTCCAAATACAGTTATCTTGTTTGTTAATGATAACAGTATTCATGATTCGTGTCCAGCAGCAATATATAAAACTATTTTCTGCAGCAGGA